TCTATATATGTAGAATTTTGTATTTGATGAGTAGATTAATATTAAATATGTGAACAGTGGGTCAGAAGCAAATTTTTGATGGGTAGGCTCGTTTTTTTAGGCTTCCAGTGCGAGCTGTGTTTTTTAGACATTTGAGACAATATCATATTTTTGAGATTGATGGGACCCATCAAAATTCATAGGTGGGCTCAAGCCCACACAATATATTCCATAATACACTACCACTACACCATAAATACATAACATTCTGATTTATTGGGCAAAACTTCATTCATCGTTTGAAATTGCAGACGTTTCGAGACTGCTCGTATGTCTCATCATCAGTATGTGATAGTAAAATGTATATTATTTCAGCATATGTATTATAAAATATTTATTCTAAAACTACTAAAATATAAAATGTGTATAGGATTGATTAAAACACAATCATAAGTATCAAGAGCTAAAGGATGGGACAGATATTATAATAAAGTCATTCCAGGCTTACATTATAACAATATCTATCCTATACCTTTACCACTGTGGTACTTAATATTCAGATAGATAATGTGTCAACCTTGGTATCATTCTAGAAGCAGCAATTTCAGAATTCGGATCATAACAGCTCGTAGAACCTATATAGTATTAGTGAGACTGGGTACGGTTGTGTCACTTTTTGTTAATCAGCAATTATTTGTTAGTTTTCCCATTAGCTGGGAGAGAGAAGTCAATTACGGTAATTTTTTACGGTTGTGCCATTTTTCTTGATCAGCACTAATTTGCTAATTTGCCTGCTAGCTGAGAAAAAACTCAATTATGTTATTTAAACATTTGTCTACGTTCAACTACTGAAATACTATTTTTAAATACGGAGTAGTTGAGGCTCACATAATAATATCTATTCTAGTACTATATCTCTGGATACTAGCTTGTCATAAAGATAATGGTCAACCATTGGCTTGCACTCTAAAAGCACTAATTTCAGGATTTATATCATAACTGTTCATAGAACCTATATAGTATTAGAGACTGGGTACCTTTGTTCCACTTTTTTGATAAGCAAGAATTTTGTTAATTTACCAGTTAGCAGGAAGAGAAGGCAATTAAATCGTAATTTGAACATTTGTGGAACTTCTGATGTACTGTTTGAACAAACATTCTTCATCTTTCTCTCTTTGGACATTATCTTAAAATCAGTATAGTTTATGATTTGATTAGTCATAAAATCAAATTGTACATGAAAAAGGCATAAACATAGGTTGAAAATCTATAGCTATAATCTACAAAATAGTTCATAACGACTTTTATTCTCAGAAATATGAAACACAACACAGCATCACAACATAATTGTCATGACCCAACACGACATTCTCGTCATAATTAATCAAAGCTTATGAATATAATATTATATTCTATAACAAAAAAATAATTTAGGAACACGAAATCTTTGTGAAATCTCTTATTTCTTATATTGAATTTTTCTTTCTCTTTCGTATTTTGTCTTAGTTAAGTTAGATTTTTCGTTATCTGTGTAAGTTTGCCCAAACAGGGCGTGAAATACATGTCGCATAAAACAAAACTAATTGCTGATAATAATAATGTACTAATGTGCAATTTACAGCAAAATAACAAACAAAGTGATCTATCTGTATACGTTTTTTTTTTAAGAATTTGGACAAAAAACTTTTTTTTGACTCCTTAAACCAATGCTGTCTACAGATCGCTTAGACGCTGACTTAATGCAATAATGTAAACTTGTTCGAACAAACATACTTCTTCTTCCTTTTGGACTCTATTTCATCATCAGTATAATGTATTTATGTGGACTATCATAACCGTACCCTGGCACAATCGTACACTGCCTACTGTTGACCGCCCAAAACAATCAAATTGAGTTAGATTATTTGTGTACTAGTTGTAATGACACATTTATGTAATTAATAGTATCGTTATGCTGAAAGATCTATCAAAACCGTTATCTTTTACATCGTGCAGCACTGCTATCTATCCATTTCGTCTAGATGTCCCGGACAATTTATATTTCACAGTCATGTGTGAAAACATCAACGCGCCATTTGAATTTTCTTTCTTCCCGCCCATCTCATTAGGGACGATGCACACGTACGACTCGAGCCATTCAGTCAATGCGACGACACATTACTCACGAGTGCGTCGTTTATATTAAAAGAATCGCGAATTTCATTCTTATTCTAAACGACACGGCGCAAAAAAATATAAATTTGCTCTTATGCATCATATCAGATGTAATAAGAATTTGGCACTTTTTTATCTTACAAGATATATATTGCATTGGGGGAGACGCAGGCTCGCATTGTATCTGCAAATTTCTTCGTTTATTTTTAAGAAGTATGTTGTTGGTATAATATTATGATTAAATATATCATTTTGTGTAGGGCATTTTACAGATTTTTTCTCATATTTTAACAGCAATCACAATCTTGTGTCCAATAAGCTGTTGGGCTAAAACTTCTCCTTACGTCGTATTTTTAGATAGTAACTTGGTAATCCAAGGATCCATCTGCATTTGATTATCAAAATTTATCTAATAGGGATAAGTATTACGGTGAATAGGGAGAGCTATTTTCAAGAAAATCTGATTTAAGATCTATATTTCTAAGTAACAATTGATGTCAATACTGCTTGATATCGGGGTTGTCTTCGACCAGGATTACTACTAACGCGCTAGCTACTCCGACACGAGCCAGCTTTTTCAGAATCTAAGCACATTTTTTTCGTCTTGAACATAAAATTACTAGTATTTGATAATTATATTTAAATTTATTGCAATATAATGCATTAATTATTTAATATATAACCAATATATATATTCCTCCTATTAGTTATCGAAATCTAATGTTAATTAATTTAAATGCATCACATGAATTTATGAAGCCAAAATGCAAACGTTTTCATTTTGAAAAATCTACTGGAAATTGAGTCCGAAAATTGCAATATTTACCTTTTACATATGATATAAAAATAAATAGGCAATAATTTTGTCATTAATTTTCGGATTTACTTCTACTCTTCGAATTGTACATTTTGTATTTATTAAAAAAAATTTACATTCTCAACATTATATGATTACATTTCATATAATTGTTCATGTTATTATATACTGATTAGTATAAATCATGTTGAATATTTTTGTTCTGATTTAAGAAAATTATAAAATATTATGTTTCTATTTTGAATTTATACTATCTTATTTGATTACTTTAAAACCAAATCAAATTGTAGGTGAAGCATTAAATATTAATAATACCAATAATCACTATTTTATTTTTGCTAATTAATATTAATTTTATTTAAATTATTATTTATTTAGAATTATATCATTTTGATCATTTAGTTTTCGACTAAATTTAAAAATACTTAAAATTGAAATAATTTAAAAACGAACTGCATTAAAAAAATTAGAATTTAAATTTTGAAAAATATTAAAAATTTACTTTTGTTTTATGAGAATAGTTCAATAAAATATTTGACTTATGGCACAATACAAAGCAGTATACACCTTCTCTCCAATCATTTCAATCCCAATAAATTATTATTATGTGGTTAAAACGATCATTATTTGATTTCTTCATTTTATATCACTTTTGATACTCGAATAAATTAATTAACATAAGCAATATCGTTCAAATTTTAATAATGCAAATAACATGTTCAACCCTTTGCATATGTTTAGGAGGTCTTTTACAGAGAGTACCATATATGCATACAATTTCCTATCTTCATCGTAATAAGTCAAATTGATTCTAAGTGAATAAAATAGGGACTCTCTCTTTCGGAATACTGATTGTGAGTATTTAAATGAACACGTGAGTTCATTCGTATTGTTACCATTGCAGATCTTCTCTTAGAAATTAATTTATCTAAAAGCCTTATATGCATAATACGGATGTAAAACCTTGGTAGGGTTGGTGAACGCTCAATTTATTCTGTATTTAAAAGAAATTCGAAATATATTATATTGTAAGATTTTTTTTCAAAATATTCATTTCTTATAAGTATAAGACCATTAACATTAATTTCTTAAATAGTAACTTTATTTTCTTGCCATCAACTGCTGTTGACCATGATTCCTTCTAAGTTAGTGGCTCCCAACTTTCCAGCATCTCAAAGACAAATTCAAAGTCTATAAGATATATCATTGATTATTCTGGCAAAATCTCCTTCAAAATGCACAATATGATGTTGTACATTGTTACATGAACCTCGTATTAGCGATATGAATATGTAAACTAGTTCAAGAAAGTTATCGCATGAGATGTGGAGCTAATGGAATAGCTTGATTTTGATTTATGCATGAATTTAATTATTTATGCTAATATTTAATATGGAATAATCTATTTGACTAAGAAGTTATCCAATGTATCACAAATTGGTGAACTTTCAATTTCATAATTGATACATATGCACATATATTCATCCCTGGTAGGATGTACCAAATATTCGTAAAAGAAGTTCATGAAGATAAATTATTCTCAATTGTAATGATTTATGAACTTACTGTATGTAAATTTACTTACTGAACAAACTGAATTTACTTCTTTGATTTTCAACATTTTTGATGACTCATATTTAAATGTATAGTAAGTAGGTACCTACCACATATCATATGACTCACGTATCTTGAATAGAATTCTAGAAGAAATCAAATTACCTTCAACAAAAACATTTTTTTAAACGAAAGAAGTTTGTATGCTATTATATGTATGCTAAATATATGTCTCTATTCAAGTCTACTATTACAACTCAAGAGGTCGTCTTGAAATCGATATACCAGTTTTTAAATAATAATACTGAAATTCTTTCAAGATTCTTTACAAAACTAAAAGTTTACATAAACAATTACATAAGCTGTGTTATGAGATGAAATTCCATAATCTTATCAAATTTAAACAAAATATAGTGGTCCCTAAAAATCACGATCAAACGTGATTTTTTGAAAATTTGTGATATCGTATTGAGTATAAATACTCGTGTGTCCCAAGTGTCAGTATTATCAGTTCAGTTTCGAGAAAACTACATCTGATAGCGCTCTTCAAGATGAAATCCTTCGTAGCATTCTGCATTTTCGTTATCTTCGCAATTGCTTTGGTGCAAGGTAAGAAATAGTAACATTTATCTTAATTTTATAAATTATATAAATATAACTTGCAAGTTTTATTCTTAAGTCTTATATACTTATACTTATAATTTACTTAAAAAATACTTATAATTTTAATCATTTATATTATTATTCCATCTAATGATAGTTTCTGACACTTTGTTAAGGGGTTATTCTGGTGTACAATTATATTACAATTGTGTTTTTTATGTTTTTAAAGTTGAACTATTCAAAAAATAGATACCAAAGGATTTTTCAAAATTTGAATTATTTTCGGAGATATAACTATAACTAGTTATTCTGCTTTCTTTCTACGCGAAACTTTATACACGTTTTTTCTTAAAACCCTTTTTTTTCTATATGATTTCCTTGATTTCTCAACTTTTACTGTCTTTCTCAAAGATTTCTCTTCAGTATGATCTACTCTCGTCGCCAAATTCCGATTCTTCAATTTTTACAAATTTTAAAGTATAAAAATTTTTGTAAAAAATATTTTTTAAAACAGTCGGTATTTTGTGAAAAAAATATTTTAACGTTATTCGACCACGATAATCCTCTTCTCTCCTGTTTTTTTCCTACGCGAAACTTTATACACGTTTTTTTCTTAAAACCCTTTTTTTCTATATAATACCCATGATTTCTCAACTTCTACTGTCTTTCTCAAATATTTCTTTTCAGTATGATCTACGCTCGTCGCCAAATTCCGATTTTACAAAAATTAGAGTATAAAAATTGTAAGAAATATTTTTTAAGACAGTCACTATTTTGTGAAAAAAATATTCTAATTTGTCCGTAGTTCATACGATTGCGACATTATTCTAGATTTAAATTCATATTATTTTTTTTAATTATTTGGAGGGATAAAATCATGTGTATGGTCTGATGCCAATTTTTGGAGATCCCTCACTTCATTCTTTTTGAATTACTCAATTTATTTTTTATATTCTCAAGACATTTGTTAATAACTTGTGAAAAAATACAGTAAAAATATTGTTTGCTTTTTTGGCCTATCTAAAGTTGTATAAAATTTATGCCCCCCGTCCAGAATTGCTCTTAATTGCCATGACATTCAGTTAATTTCAATAGGTTATAATGAATTTCTGTTTTTCTAAATAATTTTTTTCAGGTGCTCCTAAACAACTTTTGGACGTCGATGTTGGCCTTGGCAATGTTTACGGGTACCCAGAGGCTCGCTCCGCTTATGGTTATGGTTACTACCCCTATGCTTACCCATCTGTAGTCTATCCAGCTTACAGTGGCTTGTCTGCCTATGTTAGCCTTTAAACAATTATCGAAAATGTTTTGAATTTGGTTCTTCTTGTTGCAATAAAAAAGCTATAAAAAAAACTATGTCTTTGTTTTATTTAATTTTATGTATATAATTAAATAAAAAATATGCTTTCAATTGAAAATAAGCTCATTCGGTCACTGCGGTCTGAAATGGAAATGAGAAAGCTCTCACACTATTTTTTCCTGAATCGAGTTGGAGTTTAACTCAGCTCACGGACCTGCCCTAGAGCAGTACTACTCACTATTATTATATTATTATATATTTGTTATATTAATTTGGGAATTCCAAATTAAATCCAACATTAACATAAAACTTTTATAAATCGACCCTAATTTTTGCAATAAGAGTCAAATCAGTTAAAAAGGGATTATTGAGCGAGAGGGTCAGTTATGATTGAACACATTAAAATATCAGCACTTAAATATATAAGTTATTATTAAAAATGAAACTAGTGGGGTGTATGGCATCGTGCCTTAAGGCAAATTGCTGGAACTTCTCGTACCGTAACAAAATGTTCGAGGAATACTAAATGTTTTCAAATAGATTATTATTAAAATTGTAACATTGTCTAATATTTATAAGAATTATGTAAACTGAATTGCAAAGTTGAAATTATTTGTTTAAAAAAAATTTTTTTGTTTCAATTTTTTTTTCCAAAAAAAAAATTTTTTGTATATCGAAAATAATTCAGATTTTATTTTTAATTCTGACTATAGTTCTAATATACTTTGAAGTTTAAAGTATATTAGAACTATAGTCAAAATTAAAAATAAAATCTGAATTATTTTTGATATACAAACATTTTTTTTCCAAAATCAATTATTTTGTTAAGACAAACAGAAAGTTCTTTGAATCATTTAAATCGGACGCTTAGTTCTCTCAAAAACTGTCATTTTTTACATATTTAGCTCCGTATCTTCGAAATGGCTGGGCCTGCCTTTGCCAAAAACTAATAATCACTTCTCCCAATCATTACTAATTGAATGTTTTTTATATCACTCAAATCGGATACTCCGTTTTCTCAAAAACTCGATTTCTATTTTCTGCACTCCTTGCACCGTATCTCCGAAACGGCTGGACCTGCCTTTGCCAAAAACTAATCAGCTCTTCTCCCTACCAATATGTATCGAATGTTTTTTGAACGGTTCAAATCGGTTGATGCGTGCGCCCGAAAACGTGACTGGAAATTTGTATCCATACATACACACACACACATCCATTTTTTTCTGAGGTATGCCAAAATGTTTAGAATCCTTCAAAACGTCGAAAAATGTAAAAAATTTCAATTTCGATAACCCTACGGAAAGTTAAAAAATAATTCTTAAAAAAGTGTTTGTTTTTACATATCAGAAGAAATCCAATAATTTGATTTCTTCAATTTATATTAAATAGTTACTAGCCAATAATAGTTATTCATTACCGAAGGAGTTAATTTTTCCAGAAAATTCAATTTGCTAATTAACTTCCCGTAGGGTAAGTTATTGTAATGGGCCGAAAATCGGAATTGAAAATTTTAACATTTCTCGACGTTTTGAAGGTTTCTGAACGTTTTGGCATACCTCAGAAAAAATGGATGTGTGTGTGTATGTGTGTATGTGTGTGTGTGTGTATGTATGTATGGATACAAATTTCCAGTCACGTTTTAGGGCGCACGGTTCAACCGATTTGAATGGTTCAAAAAACATTCGATTCCTATTGATAGGGAAAAGAGCTGATTAGTTTTTGGCAAAGGCAGGTCCAGCCGTTTCGGAGATACGGAGCAAAGAGTGCAGAAAATAGAAATCGTATTTTTGAGAGAACGGAGTATCCGATTTGAATGATCTAAAAATCATTAAATTAGTAATGATTGGGAGAAGTGCTTATTAGTTTTTGGCAAAGGCAGGCGCAGCCATTTCGAAGAAACGGAGCTAAATATGTGAAAAATGGCAGTTTTTGAGAGAACTGAGCGTCCGATTTAAATGATTCAAAAAACTTTCTGCTTGTCTTAACAAAATAATTGATTTTGGAAAAAAAATTTGTTCCAATTTTTTTTTTCTTTTTTTTTTAGTTTTTTGTATATCGAAAATATTTCAGATTTTATTTTTAATTCTGACTATAGTTCTAATACAAAGTACAAGTACAAATAATTTTAACTCTGGAATTCAGTTTATAGAATTCTCATAAATATTAGACAATGTTACAATATTTATAATAATCTATTTGAAAACATTCAGTATTCCTCAAACATTTCGTTACGGTACGGGAAGTTTCAGCAATTTGCCTTAAGGCACGATGCCATAATTGCCTCAAGACAGAATTCCACTTACAGCTAGTTTTATGTTTTATCGGTGTTTCAATTTAAAGTTAGTCTTGCGTCGATGGTTTTTCGAAACGGCTGCACCGATTTCAAATTTTAAGTGGTTTATAATAAAAAACCAAAAAAGTTCAACGTAATAATGGGCCTTGTCATAAAAAGTTTTATCATCATAATTTGAAAAGTTGACTAATCTCAATTAATATTGTTAAGTCAATTATCTTGCCTAAAGGCAAAATTTCCCTTGCAATTAGTTTAATAAAACTAATTACTATGTTACATTATGAAATTATTGGATCTGCTAAGGACAGATGAAAATCTGAATTCAAAGCTGAAATATTCCTAAATTTTTTTTTTCATTTTTTTATGCCTTAATTTTCAACAGCAATCAAAACCTCCACACTATGCGTTATTATGATCAAATTTTTTTATCAAACTGTATTTAGATGATAATTCAATGGTTAACCTATCTATATTTGATCGCTTTTTATTATTAGAAATAATTTAATATTTAAATACATGCAGTAATACTTTGAAAGAGTTATTTTTATTTGGGAATAAATTTATCTACTGCCCAATATCAGGATGTCTCTAACGGGCATTAAACCCATTTTCATCGGTTAGATTATAATGAGCTACAAAAATATATAGTTTGATAATAGTTATTAATAGATATAGTTTGTTTGATGTTCATACTAAACGACAAATTAAAACCAGTATAATATTGCATAGGTTTTAATTGAAAACTACTGTATCCAAGTATTGAGGTTTTCAGAAATATAAAAAAATTATAAATTTAAAACTTTATTTTTTTAAAGAATATAATTTGTGCTAAACTATGGCAATACCTTTACTAATGCAGTTTTAAAAAGATTATGATTTCAAAAATAAACTTAAAATCGTTCTAGTACGAGTATATTTACTAATAGTACAAGCTTTTCTATACTATATACGATCAATTTATATTTCAGAGCCAAGAATTTTTTATTAACCCAGTAGAGTAAGTTATTGTAATGAGCCGAAATTCGAAATTGAAAATTTTTACATTTCTCGACGTCTTGAAGGTTTCTGAACATTTTGGCATACCTCAGAAAAAATGGATGTGTGTGTATGTGTGTGTATGTATGTATGGATACAAATTTCCAGTCACGTTTTCGGGCGCACGGATCAACTGATATGAATGGTTAAAAAAACATTCGATTCCTATTGATAGTGAGATGAGCTGATTAGTTTTAGGCAAAGGCAGGTCCAGCAGTTACGGAGATAAAGAGCAAAGAGTGCAGAAAATAGTAATCGAGTTTTTTAGAGAACGGAGCATCCGATTTGAATGATCTAAAAACATTCAATTGTTAATGATTGGGGGAACTGTTTATTAGTTTTTGGCAAAAGCAGGCCCAGCCAACTAAGAGTCCGATTTAAATGATTTAAAGAACTTTCTGCTTGTCTTAACAAAATAATTGATTTTGAAAAAAAAAAATTTTGTTTCAACTTATTTTCTTTCAAAAAAACATTTTTTTTTTGTATATCGAAAATAATTCAGATTTTATTTTCAATTTTGACTATAGTTTTAATATACTTTAAACAAATAATTTCAATTTTGCAATTCAGTTTACATAATTCTTGTAAATATTAGACAATGTTACAATATTTATAATAATCTATTTGAAAACATTCAGTATTCGTCGAACATTTCGTTACGGTACGGGAAGTTCCAGCAATTTGCCTTAAGGCACGATGCCATACACCCCACTTATTTAGTTTATTAATTAGAATTAGATTTTTGATAATTTTGACAATAGTCTATCACTTCGATAACATAATTTATAAACTGTAATAAAAACTAAGCAACAAGATAACAATAATTCTTAATAGTCATATTTTGATAGTCATATTTATAGAACAAAAATAAAATACTTAATGTTATTCCTGGATTTTATTGGGTCAAGAACGAGGTTTAAATGAATTTTTATTTATTTTTGTGTTTGATATTACTTGATTAATTAGTTCTAATGGATTTGAAACTTATTCGATGATGTCAAATTAAATGAATTATCTGAAATATGAACTTTAGACATGCAATGTATGAAACAAATTCCTACCTACGTGATTTTTCATTTTCATTTCATTAGTTTTATTACCTAAATCTGTTGATGAATGAGAACTACACGTCAAAGTTTGTACTGAGGATTTCAATTACATACAATCCCAATTAGTTATGGTTTGATCGGTAAGATTTACCTTCCTCGCATCACAAATCTCTCTCATGATGTCAAAGATGATGTCTTAAATGCAAATTACATTGTTCGCTATAATTTGCTCGTGTACAACGCTTTATAGGATATATAGTTGGAATATTGGGCGTTTACTTTATACCATACGTGTATTTGCTTAACTTGTATTTGGAGATGAAGAGAATATTTGATTCTATCTAGGGGATGCAATCTGTAGTCTTGTTGCTCTTAATATAATATATACTCCAAAGCTATTATAATGTCAACATTTGGGAATATTTATGCTTAGTAATTTATGCGAAAATACTCTGTTAGTAGGGCTTATGAAAATGAACAACTATGTTGCACATACACACATATATACATAATATTATATATATAATATATATATATATATATATATATATATTATGTATGTATGTAACGATTAATTTTAAAAATTTAGAATTCATGTTATAACAAATAGTCTTAATTCTAGAAAACTTGGGGCAATTGTCACATTATTTTAAACTATGGAACTAGAAATTTTATT